TCTGTTACTGCATACTTTCTTTTAGTGAAAGAACAGCCAGAATTTGTATTTAAAATGTGTGTGTCAGAAGGTTAAATACTCACAGAAAAGCCAAATGCCTCAGCAGGTATAAACCATCATATTGATTCTGTTGTGCCTTTGCATTTAGGCACAGAAATTTAGCAACCTACACTGGAAAACTTGAAGTGCACCCTTGTTAATAAGCCCACTGCTCCATTACTAACAGGACCAGTTGAACCTTTGAGTAGACAAGATTTTACATTGTCTGATGGAGTGATGCTAACATAAACTGAAGAGGGCTTTATTGGGCACAGTGGTGTTTGAAATGAGCACTGGAATGCAGGTGTAGAGGAGAGAAACTCCTGCGATGCTATTTGGTCATCTTTTGTTCCTGCCACTGTTTCTGCTGGTACACTTCGAGTAGGTGGATGCTAGAGCAGAGCAGGCACTGGGCTCTGCTCACACTGAAATGCCTCAGCATCTGGGACTAATGCCAGGACTAGGCGGCAGCTAAAACCCCGGGAAGAGGTCTGTAACAACTCCTGCACGGTACTTCCCTTACTAGAAGTTGAGGAACAAGGCTAGTGTAGGCACAGCCTATCTAAGTACACACATTGCTCGATGACCTTTTCAACCTGGCAGGTTCAGATTGCAGAACTTTGTGCGATGGAGACTGAGATCACAGTTAAGCATTATTGAGCTGGGTGTAGATGGGATCGTGAAATGCTGGTCCTGTCATTCTCTTGAAACAATGCCTTTATTGGCTGCCAGGAAGCTATTTGGCAGGTCCCCTTGCATGGTTTACCTCAGAAAACTTGGCTGGAGGGTGACCGCTCACATGGGAAGCATCTGAAGCTGAGCTTGCTTGAAGGCTGAGAAGCTGCCGTGTTTAGCCATGTAGACCAAGTGCCAAGAATTAATTAGTTTCATCCTATGCTACACAGCAGAAACACAAGAAGCAGCTCTGATGTTGCAATTGACTGTGCAGGTGGAGTCTTGTGCTGTGGCGAGGTTTCCCATCATTAAAAAGCTTTAAATCAGAGGTCAGGGTTCTATTGGAAATAGATGAACCCAAACTGACACGTACCAGATCTCACAAGCTTCTTTATAAGAAAATAGGTTAAAATACTTAAAATGAAAGCAGCCACATGCTTTGTTGTTGAGACTTGTTGGGTTTTTCCTTAAGCTGGATGGGGAGATTGTTTTGATTATTTTACTTTGGATTTGACAGTACATGCATGAAACCACACCTGATGCATATTTAAAGTAACTTTAAGAGGGATGACAATACTCTATTGTACTTCTGTTTGTGACTTCCTGGAAACTGGTTTTATTTTGTTATTTTAATAAGCTTTCTGTTGCAGTTGCGTTTCTCGGCACATTCTCAGGGGAGGCTTTGGCTGCTGCTCTGAGAATTCATTGTAAAAGCAATGCTCCTGCCTGCTGGGCAAACTGCTGCTGCTGCAAATAATCACATGAATCATGAATTCTTGGCATAATTCTAATCTATTAATTTCACCTTGGGAAAACAAGTTCCTCTGGCATTTCAGATTTCATGTTGGCCCACAAAAAGCATAGATGACTTCTATAATCCTATGCAATGTCAAGGAAGATAGCCTGGCTACCTAAGCATAGAATCACAGAATAGTTAGGGCTTGAAACGACCTTAAGATCATCCAGTTCCAACCCCTCTGCCATGGGCAGGGACACCTCACACTAAACCATTTCATACAAGGCTTCATCCAACCTGGCCTGGTTGGATGAAGATTCCTGGTCATCTTCCATATTCTACCTTGTTCCAAAACAACCTCATTCTTATATTAAAAGATTATGACATTGTAGCTTATTAGAATGTTCTGGCATCTTCCTGTCAATGTATTCCTTTGCTGTTAGTTCTTGTTTGGAAAAGGGTGCAGTCTTTAAAGACTTTAATTCATGTAACTACATTAGTCCTGATGGTTACAGAGATCTCCTTATGGAGCATTTGTGGCCAGGAGCTTGTGGTTAAGTGGAAGGAAGTTATAGAGTAAGTTGCTCGCAAGCAGGTCTTCCCTGTTCTTAGTCTGCTCATTTTCATCACCAGTGTTCCCAGAAGGGTATTTTAGCTGGACGTTGCCCCTTAAGGACCCTCACTGTATGTCTGTGCCCTCCAAGACTGTTATGAGCACCAGCCCTGTGCCTGGCTTTCCTTCAAAGGAGCTGGAGCCTTATGGCTGGATGGGGACGCAGTCATCCTCTCTCCCTCTGTTCTCTCCTACTTGGAGAGCCTTGCTGTGCCATATGGATGCTGAGAACACCCATCATCCTTCCTCAGATGATTTATCAACCCCCAGCAAGCTGTGTTTTCCTCTCTATATTCCTTCTGACATGACTCACGTACAGTGTCACACAGCTACCTTCACCTTCTTTCCTGATCAATCTATATGTGTCTACACCAGAATTCTACTTATTGTTAATATAGGAGTAATATTTGGACAGGGACTTTTGTTATATTTCCAGTTGTTCAGGCTCTTCCTTGATGGTTTGCAGGTCCTTGAATTAAGGTTTAAGTGTTTCAGTTGCCTCTCACCATTGGTGGATGATTTCTTTGGCCAGACTTGGCACTGTCACATTACTGACCATATTGTCTATGCAACTATTGCTGCTTTTGCTCTGTCTGCTATTCTACATGCTGATTTTAATTGTCCATTGCCATGTTTGTACACTTTTTCTTTTGCATTTCTTACTGTAAGTTTGGCATCTGAATCATGTTGGATTGGATGCCAGAGAGGGCCAGCACTGGCCCAGGAACTCTTGTTTCCATGAAAGTGTCTCTGTGATCCAGTATCCCTCACCCTAGAGCTTTCTGTTCATCCTTCTTTCATAGAATCATAGAATGATTAGGGTTGGAAATGACTTCAAGATCATTTCCTTCCAACCCCCTCATCTGGTCCCAGTTCCCATCTTTATCTTGATGCAACATCTTTCCCTTCTTCAAAAGCCAAACCTGGGGTGTTGCACACTGCAGTGGTGAAGATGCCTTGGCTCAGCCCCTGTCTGTGCGGGTTTGGCCAAGCATGGCAGAAAAAAGCAAGGGTTTGTTAAGGGGTGTCCTCAAACTCTTACCAAAATACATGCTGCTTATGCCTTGTGCCAGCATCTGTGACCTGCAATACCTGCCTGGAGTCCAGAGGATTTCCCCTCTTCTGTGTGCAGGGATGCTCTTTAAAATCTGAAAGACGATAGTTAGCACTACTATAAACTTCAAATGCCTGGTGCCTTCTGCACTTACATCAGTTTAGTATCTGAGCACGTATACCTCTTAAATATTTTAAGTATCATGGGAGCCCAGAGGGTAGGTCGATGCTCCCATCTGTCTTGCAAGCTGTAAGGTGACTTTCCCAAGGTGATGCAAGTACCTTAGCAGTCATACAGCCAGAAATGGAGCTCATTGCCATGGATTTCAGTCCATTTTCCTTAAAACCAAAAGTCTCTCAGCAAGTAATTTGCCTGACCCAATCCAGTTTGGGGTGTTAAGGTTGTGATTAATCAGAGCCAGACCTTGTGTGGTCTGTATATACAGCATAAACAGAGCTGTTCTCCTAAACAAAATGATTCACTTTCACAGAATTTGTAAATGGAAGAAACTGTTGTGAACCACAGGCTTCCTGCCCACTGCAAGGTACTGCATGTCAGGAAGTCGCTCTGCATGGGGCATAATAACTTGTGCTTCACAAAACCCCCTTCTGTAAGAGAGGATCCAGCCCTGATCTGAAGCCCAAGGAATTGATAGTCTGCTGCCACCCGCAGCCCTTTGCTGCAGGGAACTGTCAGTCTCGCTGCTCCCATACTTGCTGCTTTCTAATCAGAGCTTCCCTGGCTGTGTCTTCCATTAATTCACCAAATCCCTGCCTCTGCCAAGTCCTCACCAGCATTTCCCTGTGAAGGCAGGCAGACCTGTGTTGTGCAGGCAGACCACCCTCAGGTAGTTTTCAGGGCTGGTGGACCACACTGAGCTGCTAAAACCTGAACTGTTTCCTCCACCCTATTTGAATCCCACTTTGGCTGTTTCCTGTGCAGCTCTAGTTTTCCAACGTTATTTTAAAGATCTGCAGTCCAGAACTGAACCTGTAATTTCATTTTTGCTAACATGTTCTTTTCTGAAAGGGTAAAATATCTCAGAGCAGTGTGCTATCCCTCCTTGCCACAGCACTGTGCTAGGAGGTCTGGCACATGGCTAGAGCCCATTGCCAGGTTCAGGCTTGTGGCACTCTGGATGCAGGCTTTCCTTTCAGAGGTATGGCCAGAACTTTTCATCCAGCCATTTTCAGCTTTAAATTTATATATTATGCATCTTCTGGGGTTTTGTTATCGTTTTCCCTTCATTATTTTCTCCCCCAGTGGTGGGGGAGCTTGTCTTGATTTGGTGTCCTTTTTCTCAGCTCCTCAAGCTGCAGTGGTTTGGATCTCTGTATAACTGTGCTGTCCTCATCCCTTTCTCTGCCAATCTCAGTTATCAGCTGCAAATTTTGAAATGCTTATTTCCATCACTGATGATTGACACTCTGCAATGTCACTCTAGATATTGTGATTTGATGGTATTTTCCTGTTTACAGGTACAACGCTCAAGCATTGACCTTATACCTTACTCAAGGGCAAAGCTGAGTATGTAATGTAGGACACTGAAGACAGAACTAGTGGGGTCTGGTGAGGTGAAAAGGGAGGAGTTCACTTACATCCAGGCTATTTACATGTGTGGTTTGATCTGTTCTATTTCCAAGAATGTATTGAATGTGCCATTTTTTGTGTCTGAAATAGTAGCAGAATAACCTAGTGGCTACTAAGGTAATGAGAATCCACCATTCTCTAACCAATTCATGTAAATAAAGTATGGAATTTAATTTCACCCTGTGTTACCTGAGGCAGCTCTGGTATCTGATGAAACAACTGATCTTCACATGCTCCTCTTCCCTCCTGATTTTCACTGAAATATTGAGATGTTTCTCTTTGTGTAAATAAATGTGGCTGCCCTGCAGATGGCAGGGTAGAAAGCAGCCTCAGGATTACATCTTTTGTCTTGCAGCTGGCTTTCCTCAGTGACTCAAAATGTATTTGTCTTCATGCTGAAACGCTTCTATTGCATGTGATTAGGGTTGAGGATTTGGCACCCATAGAGTTCCTCTTTTTTTCTCTTGAGACACAACTTACATGTTTGGCATCTGTTCTTGTGCTATGATTGCAGGCATAGCACGAGTGTGCATCCCAGATTAATTTCTTAATCAGCGGGAGGAAGGCTCCTTTCTGATTGTGTATCACAAAGCAATATGGTGAAAACATGGGTTTGCAAACACTGACACCAGTAGGTGAATGGGTGAGAGACTTACCTGGGGAAATGGTTATCGACAGGGACTGTCACTGGCCTTGGGAATGCAGGCAGCAAACAACAAATCCGAAGGAACTCTGACCGCTGTGCAACCAGGCAACACTACACCTTGGAGCATCTTGACTTTGTAATGGAAAAAGAGAATCCATATCAAGCTACTCAGCAGCTAATCAATCACCCGAGTCCATCAGGCTGGGCAGGGAAGATTGTATGTCTCACGTACACAAGGGAGAAGAAGCAGCAGTTTGGGCACGGGATGGAGTTGTGCTTGAAGTAAGGGGATCTATTGAAAGAGAAAGGCATCTTGTTTGCTGCATTATGGGCCAGTGGAATAGTGCTGCTGCTTTTATATGCTACAGATTGTGAACAAATTAATTTCTTAACCATGTTACAGTGATATCAAGTCATGGGTCAGTCATGAATACAATCTGTCACATGGGGTATTTTAGCCTAATAGCCATTGGCACATGAAGACTTCATGTTCCAGTAGCCTATCTGCTCAGAGAAGAGTATTAGGGAAATGAAGTGGACAGCTGGCATAATATACGGACACTTGAACCCGGAAACAAAAAGACAGCTGCTGGATCTAATTTTAAACAAGTCTTGCTCAGATCCATCTAGATCCCTGTTGTCCTGATACGGGAAAGTCACTAGTGAGAGCAGAGAGGTGTGAAGTTGAAGATACGGGTAAAAAGCTTTTGTGAGAAGGGGAATCGTCCTCTTGCAGTTATGGTATTTCCATTTCTCACAGTGAGTATTGTCAGCTTACAGAAAATGTGAGTGGAAAGAGCTCCTGGCTGGTCTAAGGCTGCTTGCACTGGCAGCTTTTCTGGGCTGGCTTAAAGGGCAGTGGGACAGGCTGTCCCGTGAGCACAAAGGCAGGCAGCGCTGCTTCAGATTAGGAAACCGTGTGATAGTATGTGGGGGGTTCTAATATTTTAAAATAATATAGGTTACAGCCTCGGCCAGGTTTTAATTCTGAGTTTTACGTCAGGTGTCAGGAATGCGGCGGGCATTAGCAGCGGCCTCGAGTGCCATCTAGTGGGGCTCTGCGAAGCTAGCTTGGTTTCGGTTTGGTTTTGTCAGGTACAAAAATAACCACAAGTGAAGTTGCATTGGTATAATTCTTCGTTTAAGATGAGGAAATCTGACATCTTATTAATTCAGCAGCTGGACAAGTATTTTCGATTTTGGTTTTGCTTTCAGAATGCTATCATCAAGTTGTTTTTTGTTTGTTTGTTTGTTTTCAAGGAATCATAGAATAATAGAATGGTTTGAATTGGAAAGGACCTTAAGATCATCAAGTTCCAACCCCCTGCCATGGGTAGGCATGACTCACACTAAACCATGTCACCCAAGGCTCTGTCCAACCTGGCCTTGAACACTGCCAAGGATGCAGCATTCACAACTTCCCTGGGCAATCCATTTCAGTGCCTCATTACCCCTACAGTAAAGAACTTCTTCCTTATTTCCAATCTAAACTTCCTCTGTTTAAGTTTCTGTGTTGAACTCTCAGCTTTCCTGCGTCCTGTATAACTGGATTCTGTTCTTGTTGATTCAACACAAAGGCTTTGAATTGATGGCTACCAAGGATGGTTTATTTCTAATATTCTACCCTGTGTTTGCTTATGTGTCCTTTCGAAGCACCCATTTCTGTGTGTGCCTCCCATCTAATGCTCTTACTGTTCACAGGCAAGTTCAGAGGTACCAAAGCTGCGAAAGGAAGACCAAAAGGCACGGAATGCACTCTTAGCTGATATCCAGCAGGGAACTCGCTTAAGAAAAGTGACTCAAATCAATGACCGCAGCGCACCACAGATTGAGAGTAAGTGTGTGGTCCTGAGCAAGGTCCTGGGTGAGCTGCACTCAGTTGTGGAGGTCAGCTGGAGGGTGTTCAAAATGAAGGGCAGGTTTGAAGTTCAGGAAAAGGCTGCATCTTCACAGGGCTTTAGGGTGCAGACAGGGGACACTTTCTAAACTTGCATCCTGCTCGAAGATCAGTTAACTATCAACACTTCATAACAGCTCTGTAACTGATCACCCTAACAGGGATTCCTCATCCCAGAAAGATCACAAATGATGAAATCTTTGAGAGTTTCTTAATAAAATGTTTAAGTGGGAATTCTTGGCTCCAGCAGAAATGTTTACTAATTCTTTACTAATAAGAACAAAAAATACCAAGGAAATCTGGAAGCATAAATGTAATGCTGGCTAACACAACTTTTCTGGTGTCATTACTGATGTGAGATTAAAAAGCACCAAACAGTACTTTCTCCAAGATATGGGTCAGAGAGTAATTAATGGCAGTTTACTGTATTACCAGTAACTTTCCTTTCTGAGTGCTTAAAGAGGGAAAAGTCTAGTCTTGGCTATGTTTGGCGTCGAGTTTAGCAGTGTGAGGATGAAGTGACTTCCTGATATACCCTGGGTTTTTTGTTCTTTTTAACAGAACCCAAAGGAATTAACAGAGATGGAGTTAACCCAGCTGTTAACAAAAGTGGCCCTCAGCAGCCCCTGGGAGGCTTATTTGCAGGTGGCTTTCCTGTCCTCAGACCAGCAGGCCAGAGGGACATGTCAGGTAAGGGCTTCCTTTGTGTCCAAGAATAGATGGGGCGGAAGTGTGATTTGGGGTATAAGTACTTTGGCGTGAGATTTATTGATTGGTTTCTACTGGGGCTTTTTCTGAACCCTTAGTTCATCATGTACCCATGGAAGGCTCAATTAATAATGTGCTTAAAATCATCTTTCTAGACCTCAGCTGCCTTATTCCTTAAAACACAAATAATGAGCTGTCTCTGCATGGGGTAGGAGAGAATGAATAGATTGTACAGAATTTTGAGACTTTTTATATTAGTTTAATGAAAACCTCTAACTGTGCCTTGAATATTGAAATCTGAGCTTATCAACTTCAGCACAAATGGTCAAGCAGTCCTATTTCCCTCCCTCCATTAGTGTGCATTTCTATGTTATTATAGGCCTGTGTGTTACTTTAAAGATCTGTATTTAAGATTTCTGCCCTCTGGCTTTTATAAAGCACACCTTTGAGCCAGAAAGGTAGCTTACTGACCTGACAAAGAAGGTTCTTGCTTCACAAAGGCAGGAGGGAGGCATATGTGGGAGCCCTACTGCTGCTTTCACCTCAAGAAGCTCCAGCATCAGTAAGGGGTGACTTGTAGAGTGGCAGAAAATGGCCCCTGGCACTGCTAGGCAGCTGGTGCCTGCTCAGGCAGCACAGAGCAAAGCAGGTATGTGCAGGGAAAGGCAGATCTTGGCTCCACATCCAGGGTTGGTTGTTTCTTCCAGGAAGGCAAACCCAGGATGCACAGCACTGCTTGTGCTAGGGCTTCCTCATATAGCATCAGCTGCAGTAGCTGCTGTGAGTTGTTGAATAGTTTCAATGACCGTGCCTATCAGACTATGTAAATATAGAATTGATGCCTTTTTTGACATCTTGCTTTGTGAAAAATCCTTAACATTTAATCAGCAAAATACGTTTTGTAAGGTCAAGTGTTTGGGCATTTGCTGTTGAAAAGCAAACATCTGAACCTGTGCATTATGGGAAGCCTTTGGGCCCTGCTTTTAAGACCTTGGCTTTTATCCGTGGGATTGAGATTCATGTAAAGTTGGTGTGAAGTTTTTAATCGTAAGTGAGCACTTCAAGGGTTCAAGTTGATGCATGTCAGTCTACTTGTGCTGAGGCCTTTTCTCTAGGACCCTCAATTCCTTCAAGCAGACGGCCCATCCGTGTTCAGGAGGCTGTACCAGGCGCATGGGGCTGGTATGAAGATCCAGGCCTCTGCAGAAAAGCCACTTCTTAAACTGTTCCATTTTGCAGAAACTGACGAGCAGGCAGGAGAGCAGAGTCCCTGGTGCTCACTGGAAGCTACCACCTCCTAAACCCCCTCACACCAGGGGCAACATGTTGGATTATGAGGTGTTTCGGGAGAATTAGTCACTCGGGGTCACCACCGGGGAGGGGAAGATGAAGAGCTTGCCCTGTGCAGTGTGTTGCCCGAGGAGCGGGATCAAAAAGCCAGTGTATAACGTGTTACCTGTTTTCCAGCTGGGAAGCCCGGGCAGCTCCCTGGCATCCGTCCAGCGGCTCCCAAGCCCGCTGCCCCACCGAATAGCAGCGCTGCCAAGGCGAGCAGCGTCCCCTCGCATCCCACCGAAGGCCCCAGGGCACCTGCTCCACCAGATCCCCCCAGCGCCCCCCGAGGGCCCGGCACCGTGCCCGGGCGGCCCAGCCTGCCGGCGCCCCCTCCACCGCCGCCTGCTGCCAGCAAACCTTCCCTCACCTTCCCCCCTCCTCCCGCTGTGCCCCCCCCAGCAGAGCGCCCTCCCAAGGGGGTGTCCCCCAGCGCAGCCCCTCCTCAGCCTGACAAACTCACTAAGCTTCAGGCAGGTGCTCCACACGCACCCCCTCCACCTCCTCCTCCTCCTCCCCTGCCCTTTGTGCCCCCCTGCGGGTTTCCAAGCAGGACAACCGATTTCCCTGCTGCTGCTCCCACCCCAGCTGAAGGCAGGGATTGTCTGCCCCCCACCCCGCCTCCCCCCCCGCCCCACGCGCACCCCCTGACCTCCAACAGGCTCTCCTTCCCACCCTCCCCAGCCTTTAACAGCGCTCCCGGCAGCGCTGACGTGCCCCCGCCGCTGCCCCCCAAGTCTCCCAACCTGCTGTCCCAGCTCCACAAGCCAAGCAGCATCCAGTCCTTGCCGCTCCCTCCCACCCCCAGCCTCCATCAGCCTGTAGCAGCGGTGGCACCAGAGACCAGGAAGAAGAGGCCCGGCCGAGGCACAGGTGAGAGCAGCATGCTGGAATGATGGAAGATAGGGGGGCTTTTCCTTCCCTTTGGCCAGTCATGGAATTGCACTGGTGTCTGGAGAGCTTGGAGAGGTGAGGTGAGGAGAGGGACAGCTGAAGGATGAGGTCCATGGCATGGGAGGAACACCGGTAGCTTGCATGGCGTGCATGTGAGACGTCAGGTTCTTCTTAGCCCTGGGCACATGTGCCATATAGTTTAACTGCGATTCTTGGAAGCAACATGCTGATCAGTGAAAGCAACGTCTGAGGACCACTGCTTCTTGCCTTTGTGTTGGCATTGCTGCATCTCCAGCAGTCTCCTAACAGTCTCCTAACACTCTTAGGTAGGGCAGTGGAGTGCACACCACCGTGTCTGCCCCATCTGCAGTTGCTCAATCACCAGCCTAGCCATGACATCTGTCTACTGCTGTACTCCTGCAGTCTGGAGCAGTATCGGCAATGGCTGGGGAATGTCACAGGAGAGAATAAAAAGACGGGGCAGCTCCAGCCATAGATGAGCAAAGGCAACACAGGTGCAGTCCTCTGCTTTTCAGAAGAGGAGCAGGCAGTGTCTCCTGTGATGAAGGCGATGGGGCCAAAGGTTTCTCTGACTACTTGGGGAGCAGGGATATGAGCTGTAGTGTGCCCTTGAGCAGATGGAGGGCATTTATCAGACTTCTCTGATCTAATGAAGATAATTAAAAAAAAAATGAGGCTAGATCTGTGTGGGTTTGAGAAAAGGAGACAGAGCCTTAATAAGGCACATCTGAGCAGAATGTTCTGTACCCCGTGCTTCAGCAGCCACATGTCGAGGGAAAGATTACTGGTTCCCTTTGACAACCCTGGGAAAGGCCATGTGCAGGTCAGGGGCTTCCTGATGGGGGTTAATACTGCTCAGGAACTGTCTGCTGAGCCATGATTTTATTGAGCTATCTATACTACATGGTGGCTCAGCTCTCAAGGTTTCCATCAAATTAGCCTGCCTGTCTCCTGGCTGCCCAGGGGGAGCAGCAGGTTGGAGAGGCCTTGGGCTCCTTCACCCTTACACAGTGCCCGTGGTAGGTGTGCCCAGAAAGTACAAACTTTGATGGCTCTTGCAACTGGTCAGTGAAATGCACAAGAACAATGGTAGTATCGCTGCATGGCTGGCAGGGTGTCAGGAAATTGTTTTCTTTTAGAAATACCATTCAGCATGGTTGGATTGGCTTGGGTTTTTTTGTTTTCCGTAAAGAAACTGCTTGTTCTTGTGAAAGTGGAATGACAGTCTTCACCTCCGAACGGGACTAAACCACACTGCAGAACGTTGGACTTTCCTTAGAACTAGAACTAGCATAGTGACTTTAATACTTAATGCTCTAAATCCACGGTCGGGATTGACAAACAACAGCTATGGAGCTGGGTATGTTTGCCCCCAGTATTGTGTTCCTTCTACACTTCCCCTCCTCTTCTGCAAAGCTTATGCTCGGTTTGTTAAGTCACAATGATGTTTATGCGCTGGTCTGCTATTGCTTTTTCAGGAACTGGTGCTGGGAAGCTAGTCACACCTCCACAGCCACCAGCAAGGTCACCTACAACTGAGCTTACCAGCAAGTCTGGAGTCTCAGCCTGGGCTGCAGCTCATGACCCCTACCCACCACTTAAAAATGGAAACATGCACATCATCGGTAATATCCTCTAAATCAGATCTCTTAGCCTTAGTTAACAACTTCAGCACAAAAGCCTGTGGGTCTCAGACCTCAAAAAGTCAAGACTTTCTCACAGCATTAACAGGGTAGTATAACCAGAGCCATTAGAAACATTTTTGTACAACCTTATATAATAAGAGAAAATTTAGGCTTTTTGCGCAGGCTTTGAATCATCGAGTAGACAAGAAAAGCATGAGCTACCTGAAGAATTATTTAAGATTGTGAAAAGTTGCCATAATGTCCTTATATTACTATTCTTAAAACCAGTTTGTGGATATTTAGCAGCTTCAATACTATAGAGCAAAGACTGATAAGAATTATTTTTGTGGTCTGGTGAACTGGCCATTCATTCACAGCTAAATGGCTTGAAAACCACCTAGGAATTACCTCTGTACCGCAGTATCATCAATGCAGGAAACTGGAACTGCAGCCAGGAGCTTAACTTCAGTTAGTAGCAGGCAGTGTTTGCCATTAAGCCAGAAAACTTGGATGGCTCACAGAAGTAGTCACCAAGATTGGTTATACAGAATGAGCCACTATCAATTCCAGGGGAAAACAAGTCAGCATTTTAAACTGAAATGACTTGTGGCATTTTTATTATTATTTTTAAGTCTGTCTCTAACAGTGACTGATGTCTATTTCTCTGAAACTTCCCAGATGACTTTGAATCTAAATTTACTTTCCATTCTGTGGAAGATTTCCCCCCACCTGACGAATTCAAGCCATTTCAGAAAATCTATCCCAGCAAGACAGCTAGAGGTAAGTGTGTAAACGTAAGAAGATCTGATAATTATCCAATAGGACTAGAAGCAGGGAGTGAAAATAAAGAACAGAAAGCAGCATTAACTTAAAGAAGTGGACTGCCAGCATAGGCACAGAGAGTAATGGGATTTGTTACAGTGGTAACAGGGACCAAAGATATAATGAAAAGCTCTTAATTAATTAAAGTCTTAGGAGCTAAAAATAAAATTATGTGGCTTGGCATGCAGGCTGTGTTCTGTGGAGTGTTGAATTTGCAGAGCCCTTAATGTTAAAAACAGTGGTGTCACATAAGCAGACTTAGGCAGATACTGAGTTGGGTTTTTTTGTTCATGAACTTGTAAAATCACAAAAGAAAGGTGACTTGATCAGTGTCATCCATCACGTGTTTTGAGTTAAATCCTGCACATGGTGTTTTACATACCTGAGTAACAAAAGGACTTAGTACCTGAGCCTTGTTGGGAAAGTAATGAATGACTGAACCTTGCTTCTCCTTTAATTAAAAACTGGGTATCAGGTCACTGTGGTAAGAGCAGAAGTTCACCTATTCAGCTTTGAAAACTGGTAGTTAAAGGTGCTGAAAGCTCTCATGCCTATATTGTGCTTTTTATAAACCCCTGCCTTTTCCATATTGTTAGCTCCAACTATTTATCTTCAACTTTAAAGTTGAAAGGGATTTTTCTCTTTCCATGTCAAGGTACTTTGCATGACTTTTCATAGCAGCCTCTGTCAGTCTAAATTGTCTGCTGTATGATCTCATCAGAGACTTTTCACTGAAGGGCTACAGAGCATAAGCAATACATGTCTGTATATATATGTCGATATGTATCAGTTCAAGGATTAGACATAAATGCAGCATCCCTGCTGTAGAAATGTGTCCAAAATACATACCCCAAAAATGTATCTATCTCCTCTGATTAAACCTCTCCTATCTATTTACAGATCCCTCCAAAAATCCTCCATTAAGAACACACGTTAGATGAGAAGAGTCTTTTGATGCTCTCTGGATTAGCATTCAAAAAAGAACAACATCAAGATAATATCTGAAACAGAGGGGCTCCCATTACAGTGATAGAGATTGTATTTGAATTGCAAGTGCTGCGCTGTTAACATTCTATAGACTGGAACAGCAATGTACATGATGCTTTTTGAACTGGACTACATACTACAGGAGTGTTAGTACCAGCTTTTAAATTACTGTATATAGGTGGATACTTTTTAAGAAAAGCAGCATAAAATTGAAATTCTTTGTAGTGTTGAAACAATTCTCAATCATGCTGACACATTACCTCGGGATACTTTTTTGCAATACATGCCTGGAGTTAATTTTTCCCCTTCCATCATAATTTTAAAGTATCTTGGAAATTCTCCACTTATTATTCAGCCATTTTTCAATGAACTGCCAGAAGCTAACATGCTACCTTTAGTCTCTTTGTATGGTCCTTTATTTCTTCTATTCTGCCTATCCTCAGATCGCAGCAGAATGTCACTTTCATGAACAGATGGGCCCACAATCCTCTTCTCATCAAGCATGAAGAGGACAGAGATGACCAGGAGCTGTGGCTGCTGTTGAGCCTACCTCCTATTGAGTACAGATCCTTATAGGATAGTGCCTGAAGAAGCCCAGCTGGGTAGGGTGGTCATGGACTTGACTTGAGAAGGAAGATGGAAATTTTCCAAACTGGAAGAAAACAGAAGTTGTTCTACTGTAAGCAAAAAAAAAAAAACCCAATGGTGTGTGTGAATACACATGCTATGAAGTATGTATGTAAGGGCAACTGTCCTGTATTTCTGGCTGGCCAAATGGTTATTTACCATTTTGTGTGATGGACTGTCTTTACCCAGCAATTAGGAGGCCTTTGGATGAGTGGTCCAAAGCCTACATTTTAAACAGGCAACTAGAGCTACTACTGTTCACACAGGGCAGTGAGGATTCATTGTCCAAAATACACCATGTGGAGCAAGCACTCCCCTAAGATAGAGTTGGCTGAAAAAAGGTAACAACCTACAGCAAAGACATGAGCTTCTGCTTTTCATATGCAGCCTGGGGTAAGGTCTTTGGATTGCAGAAGTTCAGGTCTGGTCAAAAGCAATCTATTCCCAGCACAAATTACTCTTGTGCATTTCACTGCCTAAGTGACCCTTACCCTTCACTCAGCACTGGTGAGACCACACCTGGACTTCTGTGTCCAGTTCTGGGCTCCTCAGTACAAGAGATATGGACATGCTGGAGAGAGTCCTACAAAGGGCACTAAGGTGATGCAGGGATTGGAGCATCTCTCCTATGAGGAAAGGCTGAGAGAGCTGGGACTGTTTAACCTGGAGAAGGCAAGGCTCAGGAGCATCTCATCAATGTGCATAAATACCTGAAGGGAAAGTATAAAGGTGAATCCAGGCTATTTTCAGTGGTGCCAAGTGGCAGGACCAGAGGCAGTGGGCACAAAATTGAAACACAGGAGGCTCTGTCTGAACATCAGGAAACACTTCGTGATTGTGAGGGTGACTGAGCACTGGCACAGGTTGCCCTGGGAGGCTCTGGAGTCTTCATCCTTGGAAATACTCAAAAGCCATTTGGACACAGTCCTGGGCTGCCTGCTGTAGGTGACCCTGCTTGAGCAGGAGGGTTGGATCAGATGACCTCCAGCCATCCCTTCCACCCTCAACCATTCTTTAATTCCCCTTCCTACAGAAATTGCTGGACTTGGGTTACAACAACCCCATGCAGGCTTGGGGAAGAGTGGCTGTGGCTGGAAGTTTACTTGGTCCTGGTAAGGCTGCACCCTGAATAATATGTTCAGGTTTGGGCCCCTCACTACAAGAAAGAAACTGAAGTGCTGGAGTGGGTCCAAAGAAGGGCAATGAAGCTGATGAAGGGTCTGGAGCACAAGTCTGATGAGGAACAGGTGAGAGAACTGGGGTTGCTTAGTCTGGAGAAGAGAAGTGGGGGGGATCTTATCACTCTCTACAACTACCTGAAAGGAGGTTGTAGTGAGGTGGGAGTCAGTCTGTTCTCCCAGGTAACAAGCAATAGGACAAGAGGAAATAGCCTCAAGCTGCACCAGGTGAGGTTTAGACTAGATATTAAGAAAAATTTCATAATTGAAAGGGTGGTCAAACATTGTAACAGGCTCCCCAGGGAAGTGACTGTAACTCAAGAGGTGTAGATGTGGCACTTAGGGACATGGTTTAGTGTGGGACCTGGCAGTGCTGGTTAACAGACTTGATAATCTTAAAGGTCTTTTCCTATCTAAACAGTTATGATTCACCAGCCTTAAAAGGGCACTGCTGTTCCAGGGTGAGCCTGGTGCCAACAGTCAGGCTATTTACAGTTATGGCATTAATTTATATAATTGCTATAAATTCCCCTCCGTTACAACTGTAATAACATTATAGATCACAGGTAAAGATATTTCCCCATGGCCATGCCTTTGAACAAAACTATTGGGAAAACACAGGTAACTGTGTCTTCACATACCTCTGCTCTTCTCTTAGTTCTTGCAGCAGCTCACCTGCAATCTATCTCTTACTCGCATACATGTGCATGCTCATAGGGTGGAGATGGTGTAAGGGTAAGCAGCTCTTCACCTGCAGGCCTCTAAGAAAGCACCATTAGTCTTTTCCTAGCCTATTATGATACCTTTCTGTACATCATGTGAAAGGAAAAAAATTAAGTGATGCTTTGACCAATACTTACTGTCACTGTCATTATTATAGTTACTTGATAAATATGCATGAATATAGTAATAAGCAGTGGCCAGCACATACACTGCTGCTGAAACACCCAGTACCATTTATTACTGCTTTGATGAATATTTTGTTATAGTACTATTAAAGGTGACTTATTGTTGATTCTCATTTGTTCTGGAACTTGTGTACTGCTCTGTAATAAGTACCATCATGAGGATTTTACAGCTCCTTAATGCTAGATGACCTGCCAGGAGATAACTAAAGGAGAAAAAAATTTTACTCCTGTTTTTATTACGATTAGATGCAAACATCATCTTTCAGGGATTAAATCAGAAAGGCTGTGCATATTTGGAAGCACTGGTGTAATGTTATTCCCTTAATATACTAGACTGTTGTTCAAGATCCACTGAAGCTTCTAAGTTGCTATAACCTGGAGATACAGAGAATCACACCAGCCGTCACTTCCAGTAGTCCCACTGTGTCCTTCCACTAAGCCACTGCTGCACTCAAGACTATTGGTAGTTTTAAGGGTATGTGAGTGCTCTGGTTTCTCAAACTTGTAGAACCAGTGGTGGCTGAAGCAAAAGTAACATATTACTAGAAAATTAGTACCTGGATCACTGTGCTCAAAACAATTTATTAGTTCTGGCATAAGCAGTTCCAAATAAGGACATAAATTCCCACAAGATAATTGCAAACGTTGGTTTCTTCTTTCTTAAGAAACAAGCAAATAAGATATAGTACGGTTTTAGCAGGAACGCATTCTTTCATCTTGCCTCCCTCCCACCTCCCAAAGGTTGCAGATCCAAGTTGTGCAAAAGACTTGTGTGAAGTGGTATATCCTGATCTGAACCCTCTAGACGGGTCAGTCATTTTATCCCTGTTCTCCCCTTGTTCACAAACATCTAGTGCGACTCCTATCAGGATGCGAAGTGCGCAGCAAGCAACAGTTTAAAGCAGCAGCTTTTAAGTTCAATATGGTATGTGTTAGACGTACTCTGACTAGGAGTATTTTCATTTGAAGCAGCCTTTCATTCCAAAAGTGGATTTCATGGGAAATCCATTTACTTCAGTGGACAGTGTGCATATAGCACAACACATTCAGAAATGAAGCACAGCCCTTGCAGACCCTATTCTGGCTAGGCAGATAGAAGCTTAATTTTAGGGTTACCTTGCCTATTTTCTCCTTCCCTTGTTTCCATTTTCATAATACCAAGGCACAGGAGTTGCTCCTGCAATAGAGAGTGTGGGAAGAGCAAATTGTGAGTGGGAAGATTATTAGGTAGGCCATAAGAGAAAGTATCTTCATGCTTGTTTTTCCTAAGTGAGAAGGCTCAATGTTTTCTTGTCCAATTGCCAGTTGTCAGGTAAGGCAGCACCAAAGCAATGAGTTTGAATGGAAAAATTTCATTCCAAAAACTTCTGAGAACTAAATGTGCCAATATGGCAATGACTGTTTCCCAAATGCGCAACTCTCACAGTATCAAGGTGAGGTGTTGCTGCCTCCTAAGGAGCTTTTATTTCCTCAGTAGAGGACTCCATGGTTCTTCACAATCCCCTTCCCTGAACAGTGAAGGACTTTAATGCCATAAACTAACTTCCACTTATCAAAGATATGGAATTCTTGTCTGAACCTCCTGTTAAAAAAAAAAAAAAAAAAATCCATCTTTGCATGACAGGAAACAGTGGTCACTGGTTTAATTCTTAAAACTGTTTGCCCTATCTCATTGCTACAAGAGGGAAACACATGAAAAGCAGTTCTGTCTGCAGGACTGTCAAGGAAGGGAAGCATGCTGCAGAACCACACTTATCATAAGGAAGCGTAAGACAGACATTTCTAAGCCTAACCAGCTGGATTGCCACAACCACCAGTAACTCACTGGTACCTCCTGGATTCACTGGCCATGTATATGCATAGAGATTATGAAGAACTGTATAAAAGCAGAAAGACGGAGAACAGTCAAGTGTTACTGATCAACGTCCAGCATCTATTCCCTAAAAAAATTCCCAATTTGTAGCTTGTATATAAATACGACATCTTATTAATTGCACCTTAAGAGCCAATAGGTTATATACAGATGTCTTAAGCATCCAGGCTGGCTCTGCATTCCAGTGCTCAGCACTACAGCAGCAGCCAGGTGCATTACAAACACAAGCTTCCTTAAGTTGGGTGCAGGTGAAGGCAAAACGTAACCTGGGGGACCTAATTCTGCTCATTTGTACAGGCATAGCGTCAGAAGCAGAGCTACTGTAACCAGATATACCTATCTGAGGCCAGTACAGCAAGGTCAAGAACCAGGACTTACCTTCCTGCCCCCACAAAACTGGGATTTCAACTCTACCATTCTTTGTATGAATTAGCAAGAGGAAAACACGAGTCAGCTTTGCTGCAAGCCTAGTCCTGAGCAACAGAGGCAAACCAGATTGCTTTCAATGACGATATGGCAGTTAGCCTGATGAAGTTAATCTTTGCTTTAATTGGTTGCCCAACATACATATTTAAACATTCTGTACTAAATTAGCCAGCATGCACGAAGTAATTGGACCAGTCAGTGACTTTCTCCTTTCACTATATACATACACAAACAGGAACACCACAAGATTGGACAAAGAAAAGCAATTTGTTAACCAGATACAGCTAGCAAGTAACATTTTTTTTTCCTCTAGAAACGTTTTCCTGCAAATTCACAGGTGTAAAGACTTTCTTTCAAGGCCTGAAGAACTTTGCAGTCTTCCAGTGAAAAGGCTAGCAATAGCCACCGTAGCTGAAATGAGATAAAATTCATTTAAAATCCATTCCAAGCAAGAGTGAAATTGAGAAAAATAAAAACTGCCTGCAATGCAACACAGGGAAAAGGAACTCCAGAAACAATGTGGGCAGATGCATTGAGGTAGAAAGGTGGCTTTGGACCTGATTCTGAACACTCTTAGCTTAGTGCTAAAGAGAAGGAGGAGGATTGGAATCGGATCCAACATTTCACATTCACTGGTACTTGGCAGCAGAAACTCAGTATCTAAAGAATTGGAAGTGTTTGCTTACTTTACTTGAAGAACTTTAGTTCTGTGTCAACACAGTCATAGAAAAGATCCACTACTTCAGCAGGATCCAGAACCTCTGCACGGGTGAGGATATCTTCCATTGCTTCTAACCCTTGTCTTTCAAGGTCTAACATAATCCTCATCAGTTTCTGGCCTTTATCCTACGGGCATGAAACAACCAAACTTAATTAACCAGGAAACAGACTCATTAAAGCATTTTACTGTTCTATTATGGAGATCTTTTCAAGTATTTTTAAAGATGAGAAAATCTTTTTAAGTACAAATTATTCCAGTGAACAGGGGTTTTTTTAATGGTTAAAGGCTAAAAGGAACAGTGCTAGACACCTTGCGCATTAAGAAAAATAACCAAAAAGGAGTTGCTGATTTTAAAGGCAGATGGAATGAGAGAT